GCCCGAAACGTCAGCCTTCCTGCTCCTCTGATGCTGCTTGGCCTGCTGTGTTCATCCAGCTTTACACCTTGTTATCTCAGATTCTTCAGCATCTGCAGTTCCTTCTATCTCAAAGTTATACATTAGTCTTAAGATCAGTGCCTTTCCAAACTTCCTAAAGCTGTCCACAACTAATGAGTGTAGTTTATAGACTGCTGTTTGTGGTATATAGAAATGATTTAGACTTGAGTGTGGGAAGGTTGATCAAGTTAGTGGATGATATGAAAATTGGTGGGGTGGTAAATGGTGAGGAGGATGACCTTAGGTTACAGGAAGGTATGAATGAATTGATCAGTGGCAAATGGAATTCAATCTGGCTAAGTATGAGGAGATGCACTTGGGCAGGACAAACCAGGCAAAGGAGTACATGAATGATAGGACCCTGGGAAGCACTGTGAATCAGTATGCATGTTCACTGGTCCCTTTATCTATCTGTCCTGATACTTTAAGTTGTTAGGAAAGCATATGGGATATTTCTCTTTATTAGCCAAAACATTGATTTTAAAAGTAGGGAAGTTTATGCTAACTGTGTGAAATGTTGGTTAGGCTGTAGTTAGAGTATTGTGTGCAGTAGTACAATCCACATTATAGGACGGATGTCATTGTAATGGAGACAGTGCAGAGATTGACAAGGATATTGTCTGGGCTAGACACTTTTAGTTATGAAGAGTTATGAAGATATGATAGACTTGGGTTGAGATGTATAATGTGATTGAGATACATGAGGAGCATAGAGATAGGGTAGACAAGACGGAACTTTTCCTCTTGGTGGAGGGGATCAATGACCAGGTGGTGCAGATTTAAAATAAGGGGCATGAGGTTTATAGGGGTTGAACAAAGATTTTCTCACCCAGCGCGTAGTGGGAATCTGAAACTCTGTAAGGCTGGTAGAGGCAGAAATGCTTTATAATGTTAAAGAAGCATTTAGATGTACGCTTGCATTGACTAGGCTATGGGCCAAGTGCTGGAAATTGGGATTACAATAGCTAAATGTTTGTTTTTGGCGCAGGCTCAATGGGTTGAAGGACCTTTTTCCGTGCTTTAGACCTCAATGATTCTTGCTGTTTATAGGAACTTGCTCTATGATGTATAATAAATAACCAAATAACTAACATGGCTAAAAAGTAGATTAAGGTTATACATGTTGGCCAGATGCTGCAGGGACCTTTGCTACTGGCCCTCTGAAAGCATCGTTAGAACTTTGGTTTAGAACATGATCTAAAAGGCAACAGCTCCTACAGCGCATTAATGGCATTATACTGTACTGCTGTTGAGTAACAGTCTAGATTGTATGTTCAAATCTACAACCTGTGACTTTAGAAACAAGAGATATGTCATTGAACAGAAGTTGACTCCTATCAAGCACTGAATGGCAGATGCTGAAATAATTTGTTCCAAATAATTCTCTTTCTTTTTTCCTCCGTGGTCTGCTATATGAAATTTGTGGCATCCTCTGCTTACAATTAAATTGGAGTCACTGCCAAATACTGGTAGAAATTAAAATGTCGTAAGTGTTTTTCACCTCCTTTCCTGCTTCTATTCAGAAGCCCCATTAAGATTAGAAATGCAGAGTTGTGTAATCCCAGGTATGTAAAGAAACCTAAGGTTATGTATTATTTCTAGGATTGGGGTAAATTTTCTAAAAACCTTCTGGTACTGCATTCTACAACTGTGTTATTGGGGGTGAGTTGTGGTTGTGCAAGCAGAAAGGACAAAAAGGGAGAAAATACCATGAATAAATCAGGCACTGCACAATATAGCTACACGATTTTGCTTAGTTACACTGTACTAGAACTATCCATTACAATGGAAACATTGAAGTTTGTTGTGCAAAGTAAACGAAAGCAAAATGAATGAAAACTGCATTTAAAACTAATGAATTGCTGTTTCCTGTTTATGTATTTGTGGCTGTGTGACTTTCCTTCACTGAAAACTGCAGATACTCCGTCAGGGTGTCTCCACAGATAGCCAACAGGATTGTTGATTCGGCCAGAAGCATTTTGAACAAGTTCCTACCAGATATCTATATCTACACAGATCACATGAAAGGAGCCAATTCAGGAAAGTGAGTCTGACTTGGGCAACTCAAGATCCTTTTTTTTTATGTTAGAGAGAGAGAGATCAATGTTTCAAGGATCTAGCTTGAAATATGTATGGTAGAAAGCAAGCTGAAATGCACTGGTGAACATTCACCAGGATTGCAGTTGAAACTTTAAGTAAACTATTGTCCACGTGCATGTTTTATTTTGCACAGTGCTTCTTCAGGTTGCAGCCCAGCATTTGAAATTTAATACAGTGGGTTGCCAGCTTTTCAGTATAATTGTTGTTATTGTTACAGTGCAGAAGGAGGCCATCATCCCTGCATGGTTCTATTATCTATGGCCAATCTCCTTCTCCTGCACAACATTCTACCCAAATAATCAATCAATGCCCTCTTGAATATTTCTATTAAACTTGCCTGTACCACACTTACAGGCAGTGCATTCCATACCCAAACTAGGCAAGGTGAAGTCACTGTAGTTCCAAAGGACCATTGTGCTGCTGGCATCAGAGAGGTGGTGATTTACCACCATGCTTCAGGCAAAGTGAGAGGTTGAGAAGATGGGACCGTCATGGTAACTTCAACCAGTATTGGAACTGAACCCTTGTTATTGGCTCTACTTGAAATGTAAACCAGCCATCCAGCCGACTGAGCTAACGAGTCCCTAAACTACTAGCTGTGTGAAAAAGATTTTTCTCACATCACCCTTGCTTCATTTGCGCATCATTTTAATCTGTGCCCTTGTTCTCATTTCTCAGTCTTTGATGGCAATGTACTCCTGAAATGTCAGGCTGTCGTCTCTGCATTTAATGGTGACACTTAGCAGGGAATAAAAAAGCCTTCAACCAACTTACCTGGTGTTGATTCTGTATGTAGTGGAGTATAACTCGAATGTTTATGTTGGGATTCATTCTGAAACTGGGAAAGGAAATCTCTTGTCAGCTTCCAATATTATTGTTCAACATTATGTTGCTAAAGAGATGTATATGTTGTTTGGTATGTGGGGGAATGTTGAGATTTAGTTGAGGCGGGGGGACCCAAAAATTTGAAGTAACTGAAAGTAGAATCAGTCCATTATTGTGTCACTACTTTGTCCTACATATTGCTACAGATTGTTTTGTGCAACCAGTAATATACATTTTAACTACTAGGGAAGTGCGGGAGTGAAATTTATAATCTCTGACTCTAGTGAGAGTTTTTTAAACAACTGCGTTTGTTTTAGGTCACCAGGATTTGGTCTCTCTTTAGTGGCAGAAACAACAAATGGAACCTTTCTCAGTGCTGAACTTGTTTCAAACCCTCAAGGTCAAGGGTCACCAGTCCTACCAGAAGACCTTGGCAAGAACTGTGCAAAGCTTCTTTTAGAAGAAGTCTACAGAGTGAGTATCTGCTAAACTATTTTGTGGTCTTTAACGGTAGGAAATTCAGAACTGTTGTAACAGGGAGTGGAGTAGTTGTTGGGATGGGAGAGGTTAGAGGCAGAAAACTGTGGGTTTTTACAGTCCTTGTAGAGACGGATACTTCTTTACAAATATCTGAATTCCTGGTTACTGGCTTACATAAGATTTTAAGTTACTGTGACAAACCAATTGAAGGCAAAATTGGCACAACGTTGTCTAATACAGAATAAATACTTATAAACTACGAAAAGGAGTTTCTGTAATCTACTGTTAAAAAATCTTTAGCGCTACTAAAAATCCCCCACAGCTTAAGTATATGTTAAAGCACAGTGTCCACAGGATCGCACTCTTTGTGGCAATCTGTTCACAATCGCTCACAGCTTCCAGTGGATTGATGTGTCCCAGTTTTCCCAATTCCTAACACCATGTGACTGTTGAAAGGTACTTTGTTAGATTTCAGAAAATTCTCAAACTAACTGCTAGAAGTAAGACCCACTGTCAGTTTGTCCACAGTGAACCCAACTGTTTCCAGGTATGAAGCTTTAGCATCTTGCTCCATGAAGTTTTAAACTGAATTCCCCTGTCCCCACGACAACGAATCCATCCAGGCTTCTTGTGGAGAACTCGAACATCACATGACCTTCTTAGTTCCTTCTTCATACTTTGAGTTAGAGACAATCCCAAACAACTTGTAAAACCATATACTCAACAGGCCTATATCAAGTACTTAATTTCCTTTATGAAGAAAGTAGTACTTCCCAAAAGGCCACAAATCCCCTTGCTTTCAGATCAAATGCATTTCAGTTCTTCTGCAAATAAAATTGCATTTAGAAAGAGTACATTACTCCCTGGTTGAAGCTAAGTTTATATTTGCTGGCTTAAATTGCTGAATTTTATTAGCTTTAATCTAAAAACTTTTGTGTTGCTTTAATTTTCCATTTCAGCTTGACCCAACCATTCCTATCAGGATTGGCACTTACTGCTCATCCTTAGATATCCTGAGAAGGAAACTCAATAGCTTAAGAAAATATGAAATAAGAGCAGAAGTAAACCATTTGGCTCTTCAAGGCTGCTCCATCATTCAATAAGATCATGGCTAATCTATTTTGTTTTGAATTCCACTTTCCCATCTACTCATGACAACTCTTGATTTCCCTGCCTAACAACAACATCCAATACTCCATATGTCGGAAGTCTGAAATAAAAACAAAAAGTGCTGGAGGAACTCAGCAGGTCTGGCAGCATCTGTGGAGATAGAAACAGAGTTAATACTTTGAATCCAAAGACTCTTTGAAACCAAAGAGGTCTGGAAAATGATGATCTTTGTGCTGTTGCCAAAGGGGGAGAAGGAGTGAGTGGAACAGATGGTGAGAGTGCCCAGAGAAAAAGACAAAGAGAATACTAATAGTGGTAAAAGAACAATTGGGATATAAAACAGCTGTAAATGATAGTTGTGAAAAGAAGAAAATTGGTTTGCACTGCTAAGGATTATTGAAGTCAATGTTGAGTCCTGAAGGCTGTAAAATCCTGGAGTGGAAAATGAAATGCTGTTCCCCCAGCTTGTTGAATATTGCTCTAACGCTGCAGCAGGCATGGGATGGAAATGTCAGCATGGGACCAAGAAGGTTTGTTGAAATGGTAAGCAGCTGGAAGGTCCTGGTCACTCTTTTGAACACAGTGGACGTGTTCCACAAGGGGGTCACCCATCTGTGTTTGGTCTCACTAGAGTAAAGGGGATTGCATAGTGAGCAACGAATACAATAGACTAGATTGAAAGAAGTGCTAGTAAACTGCTGCTTTACCTGGAAGGTGTGTTTGTGAGCTTGGACAGTGAGGAGGGAGGATGTAAAAGGAAAAGTGTTGCACCACCTGAGATTGCATGGGAAGGAGCCTTGATGGGAGTGGGGTTGAAGCAGGGTGGAGCGGATCAAATTATCACAGAGAATAGTCCCTGTGGAATGCGAACTGTGGAGGGGAGGATGTGTTTAGCGGTAGTGTCTTGCTGGAGGTGGAGAAATTGGTGGAAGATGGTCCTTAGAATGTGGATATTGGTGGTTGGAAAGGAAGGAATACTGGACCTCCTATCCTTGTATTAGAACAAGAGCAAGGATAGGGTTCCCCATCACAAAACCCTGAAGGACTCCATTTGCCACCTTCTAGAAATCGGGCAAAGACTGATTTGTACATACATTGTGTTCTGCCAGCCAATCTTTTATCCATGCTAATATTTTATCTCCATGTCCTGAGTGTTTATTTTCCACAATGACCTCCAATGTAACACCTTTGAAATGCCTTCTGGAACACCAAGTGCCTTGCTTGTTCACTTATTTAATTGTTTATATGGCTTTTGATAGAATTTATTTATTTTACCATCGATTTCTATCTTATCACTTATAAATAGAAAAGAGTTTGACTACTTACCAGAGATTCACCAAACATCTAGCTCCTTTCTCTGTGGTACAGTAAGAACCTATTTCAGTCAACTTGAATAAATCTAGCTGTGTCTCTGACTGCCTGTCTCTGGATCATTTTGTCGTTTGCTCCCAAGCTGTTGCTGACTGCCTGCTTCTCTAGGTAAGGCAGATTCCTGTCACGAGGTCTTCACCTCATCTGCTTCTCTAGCTTCACTTTTAAACAGAATTCAAATTATGCAATTTACATCATGGACTTGAACTCACGTTTAACAGTCCAGGCCTCTGGATCACTAGTCCAGTAACAAAGCCACTTTACTACTCCCACTAACTGCACATTTGCCATTTTTATCTTGTGACTTTTACATGTTGCTACACCTAAAGAATGATTCCCTCCTAGTTAGAAAGATTCAAAGGAAAATTAAGAAACTGGGTACACGGTGAATAATTGTTAATGCAAGACTTTATAAGCTGTTTATATCAATTTCAATTCCTGCAGCCACATCTACAGAATTAGGGATTTGTACTCTGTATAAAATGATATGTTTTGCCTTAACTAGATTGGTTGCTGAAGACAGGATCAAATGACTTTTATTGTGTTTTTTGGGAGTCTTATTTATTTAAATGATTGGAAAATTTGGATTTGATTAAGTTACACCTAAGTTGCTTTTGAAGTTTTTTGACCAATTGAGGTGCTCTTCAAATATTCCTACTGCATGCTACATGTATTGTAATGCTTTCAAATGCTTCAAAACCAAACATGGAGTTTGTGTTTTAGCTCTTTTACCTTCCAATATGTGATACTTTACATTGGTCAGTGTTAAACATTGCCAGCCGTTGTTCCTCTCAGCTCTCATTTCTGCACTGCCTGCTCCAGTTCTGCTGATTCTCCTAGTATAACATTTGACCAGCTTCTATTCCAGATTTTTGTTGTAAAATAATGCTGAGTCAGTGTAGTTTGACTTGTTATTTGCATATAATATTGCGTTATTTGGTAATTTCAATGCTTGGAAGCACTTCAGTATACAATTGGAGAGGAATGTGCTGAAGTCACAACAGCAAAATCTTGCAAGTGACAGCAGCTTAATGATGTTGACAGTGATCCTCTAAAATCTTTAAAAGAATTTAACCTCAATCTGGGTGCCATGCTAGAATTATTCTATTTAGTAAGCTAATTGAGGGACAAATATTGGGTAGTACATCAGAATGAGTGCATGTCCCTCATTCTTCTTTGAGTAGTGCCTGTTAACACTTTATTTCAACTGAGAAGACCTCAATTTCACATCTTAATGAAAAATATGTTATCTCTGGCTGTGCAGCAATCCCTTAGTACAGTACTGAAGTTTTGTCCTATCACCCACTGAACTGTGTAGAACCAGGAGGGAAAACTATTCTTGTCGGTGCCCTAGTAGAAATGCCTTTATTTTTAACACGATGTACGCTCTCTGGAGACAAGAAAATGATGCTTTTTGGTGGTTTGGTTTTGATTTTCTGCCTGAAACAAAGTTGGGCATTTGTAACTTTGTATCTGATTTTGTTTTTACAGGGTGGCTGTGTAGATTCTACAAACCAGAGCTTGGCTTTATTATACATGGCCCTCGGACAGCAGGATGTTTCAAAAATTCAGATTGGTTCACTGTCCCCGTACACGTAAGCGAAAGTCTCCAATGTATATGCGTGGTGTGCAAGTGAATTCTTGCAAAAAGACCAGATTTCTATTTTTTATATATCACTGATATTTTGATTTTAAATGCCTCATTCAGTTTTTAAAATGTTGCCACAGCTGGAAATCTGAAGGTCAGGAAATCTGAACTGTCCTTTTTCAGTTATCACGGTACCGGTGCTGTTTCTTCAAGAGGTACAGTACTGTGATAACTGAAGAGTGGCAGTGCCATCACAAGACTATCGAACTTGAAGTTTTCATCTCTCGCTTCTTTGTGAAGTTTGGACATAACAATGCCAGATATTGATTTTATTGTTTAGGAAGCAATGCCACCCCCCCCCCAAAAAAAAACTGGGCATGAATTAAGTTGAGTAAAAGTCAGAGGGAAATGAGTCAGGTTGATTGCCATCCATGTTGCAGATTAAAATTGTCACACTATTTGATGTTAGTATCCATTGTGGGATGTACTTGCTTTGATTTCTGTTTATCTTGTCTTTTGTTTTATTAATTTTTTTCCCTTTCCCAACTAATTAATTAACTTTCTTACTTTTGATTCACTTTTGTTTACCTTCTCTGTTCCTCCCTGTTCCCCTCATACATTCAGTCTCTTCTCTCTTTCTTTCTAGCAGCAGTGCTTTGCATATTGCGCAGTAAGAGCAATCCTGCCATATAACTCTAAGCTATTAAAGTATCGTCTTGCATGATAACACTCAACTCTGAGTTACATCACTGTGTCAAGTCACTTTCTAGAGATTCGAATGTATAATCCAGACTGATAACTTCAGTGTGTCACTTCGGGACTGCAGCATCATCAGAAGTGCTATTCATGTAACTGTTTTGAAGAACAGGGAAGTTATTGTTTTTGTCAATACTACTCCCTTAACCAACATCAGTAAAACTGATCAGCTGGTCGTTACCACTCTGCTGTTTGAGAGACCTTGCTGAGCTCAAATTGGCTGCTGGGTTTCTTACATTGCAATATTGGTGCACTTCAAAAGTGAAGAAAAGTTCGACCTGTGAAGACTTTGGTTATCTTTTAGCTATGAAATGCACCATTATAACAGTGTTTTAATCATGGTGAACAGAATGGATTATCTTTTCAAAAATGTGACTTTTTTCCATCATTAAAAAGTTGCTTCGCACATGTGTTAGAGGTGCAGAAATAATGGCAAACTTCTTAAGTAACAAAATTCACTGCATAAATAGTGTCATGAACCCAGTAAACACCTTGTCAAATAACGTCGTCCCTGGTATTTATGACATGATAAAAGAAAAGGGATAGATAAGATGATTTTATTTTTGCAGCAAATACATTTAATCTAGTGTACACTGCACACATAGGTGTTGGCAGCAGACTGTCAACTTTCAAAAAGAATTCGGTAAATATTCGAAGAGTCAATAATTTTACAGAACTCTGGAAAGCGTAAGGCCACGGTAACAAATTGGACAGCTCTTCCAAAGAATCAGGACGAATGTAATGGACTGAATGGCTGCCTGTTATGCTGGAGTATTGTAATTCCTCTTAGCCTAGTACGATTGTGTTTGATTTTTTTGGGTTTGATATTACATCAGTTTTTTTTAATGTGGCGTCACAGCACAATGAATGCTCAGCAAAATGAACTGGCTTAATTCCAGAATATTTCTAAATTAAATAAAAGCAACAGTCTATTGTATAGAAACCCATTTTGTACCTCAGTGTTAATCATTGACAAGGAGTATGAATTCTATCATTGTGTATAAATATTGGTTTAGCATTTAGGTAAGGAGTACTTCAACGTCGAAGTAATCCTAAATGGGAACAATAAAGGTGCATGATATATTTTTTGATTAATAATAAAAGATACGTTAAATTCTATAATTATCAAAAGTTTCAAAAGCTATTTATATATGCTTTTAAAGCACTTTATGCATATTTTTTTAAAATCTGTTCTTAAATCACTTGCGTTCTGTATCCCATTTGTCATTTTGGAGGTGGTAACCATTTTTTGGTAACTTTCTTTTGGATCAGAAAGCTAAGCATTGTGTAATGCAGGGGTTCTTGACTTTTTTTTCCTACTTTCAATTAAAATTCACAGAGCCCCAATAGCACAACTCTTTTATTTTTTAGTGCAGAAACTAGTTATATGATGTAAAATATTTTGTTTGACTTTTGAAATTTGTTGCTTATGCTGAATGGCAGATCTGTCAAGTTGTGAAGTCTTGAGCTAGATGTGTCTTAGAAAATTCCCTTCTGCATCATTTCTATACTATAAAGAAACAAGAATTTATTTCTTCATAAAGGGGAAGTCTCTGGTAAAATAAAACTGCCTTGGAGTTACTGAGAAGGAGAATTAGCTCCCACGTGAGGACACATCTGCAAAACAACATGCCTTGTGGCTGAGTTTCTCCCGTGTTTTATGTTAGTGGTGGGTAAACCTCGATTGGCTTCGAATTCAAATAACTGGCCTGCGTTACCCCATCCATCAATCATCTTAAGGCAATAGGGAAATCTCTGCACTATTCCAGTTCTTTGTCTTGGAAATGAGCCTCTACACACTATGCGCACAACAGTATGACATTTTAGTGTATTTGGGTGACTCTAACGTCTCAACTGCCTAAACACACTTGCAATTTCAATAGTGTGTGTCTGTAGAGTAGAGTTTGAGGTCCAATTCTGTATTAGCTCCTTGAAGCATTTATTGGAACCATTTTTCAGTTGTCTCACCCCAATTCTGATGCTGCACGGTGTGACTCTTTGATTCTATCAATGTCTTTTTTAAAGTTCATAGTTCCTAGGAGGATCAAATGCTTCCTTTTTCTCGTATGTTCCTTTTCTATGCAGCTGCACCAAGTATCACATTGCATTTAATATTGATTCAAAGAGGCTATGGGATTTTAGGCTATTGTTCCTCTTTTCTGTGTTTTCAGAAGATTAATTAGTTACGTATGAGAATTTCATCACTTCATGACTGTAAATTCTGATGCAGGGATTTCGCAGTAGAGGTATATATTTTAAGCAAATGTAAATGGATGAACAAGAGTGACAGTTTAGTTTGCTTCACTTGTTCCCTAGATGTATTGCTATAGGCATCCAGCTGAAGGAAATTGTCCGTGGCTTGGTAGCTCAGGACGAGGAAGATTTGATGGACTCTAAACTGAATAATGAAATCTTGATAGTTGCAGTTCCTGGGACAGTCACCTAATGGTAGCATTATTCCTGATCCAGTCATTGATGCTAATAGTCCATGGTGCTTTGTGTGGCTTGCTTTTCCTGCGGACCTCTTAAAAGCATCTTGTAAATGATAGCAAGCTGTGAATCCCTAGTTGAGTTCCCGCAGTAAGGGATAGTTCAGTAAGATTTTTTTAAAGGGGTCTGGGGGACAGAGTGGTTACAATATTGCAAATTGCTTTGCCCAAATAATGTATGTAACTGACTTTCCTCAAACATTTCTTTCATTCACAATCCCAGTTTGAAACCAATACAAAAAGGATCAAGTTTGGAGACACCATTTTATTTTAGCACCTTTTACAATATTACTGCCTGTAGATTTGTTTCTCTCCTCGCCCTCTATAACCCTGTTTTTCCTAAGTTTACTAAGAGAGTTCTTCTGCTTTCTATCATCAATTTTAATGAAGGCTTTTACTTTGGATGCTGATGGGTATTTTATTATTTGCAGGTCATCTCTGTTTTGCAGCAAACTTTCCTTTGTTCTTGCATAGATGATTTGGTTATCATTTCGGAGCCATCAATATGAACAGATGAAATCTGTTTCCACCTACAACCTTATTTTTGTTTTACAGTAGTATGTTTCTGCCTAACTATTATTTTGTGTTGCTGCTTTTGGAACATCATTTCTTTGTTAGTGACTATCACAAGTTGTCCTCAGATTTTACTAATTTTCCAGACCACAGACAACTCAGATATGTTTGGGGCTCCACCTATCTTCTCCTCTATCCATCTTCTATCTGCCTCCCCCTCTCTCCCTCTTTATTTCAGAACCCCCTTCCCCTCCCCCATTTCTGATGAAGGGTCTAGGCCTGAAACGTCAGCCTTTCTGCTCCTATGATGCTGCTTGGCCTGCTGTGTTCATCCAGCTCTGCACCTTGTTGTCTCAGATGCGTTTGGTTTTGTTCTGTGAGTTGAGTGTAGCATTTACAGCTAATTGCTGTAAAATGTATTAATTATACCTTTTGGTAGCTACTTCTATCAAATTGAATGAACACAACTTTTCACAAGCAAAATTAATAATTTATGTAGAAAGTTCATTTATAAAAAGTAATAAGAGAAGTTGAAAGTTTAGGGGGATTTTACTTAACACTGAATGTTGTAGATTTGCTTATTTGATGCACAGATATTAATGTTGTGACTTGCATTTCTGTAAAATAGGAAATGTTTGTTCGGAGAGTGCATGATTTCAGTTAAGTATTTTGAGTGGAATAGTGAAATGATACTTAGCCCTGAAAATGTGTACCATTTTTATTTTTTAAAGGATTGAGTTTCTGCGGCATCTGAAAAGCTACTTCCAAATAATCTTCAAAATTGAAGCCCAACCCATGGAAGAACAGAAAGGTGGAGATAAAGTATTAATGACTTGTATTGGTGTTGGCTTTTCTAACATCAGTAAAACTGTCACGTAGGAAGACTATTATTGCATCTGAATGTTTGGCATGATTCATTGTATATTTAAACCTTCAATCATTTGTATCTTTGGAATTTTGTGCATGAAAACTGATGTTTCACAAGGACACAGTGTTATTAATCTGTAACTTACATTCTTTTGTCATTTGGCTTATACTAAAAACTTGAGAGGTCAATGCAAGTTGATTGGTTTCTTCCAAGAAGCCAATTTCAGTTTTCTTTTAAAAGTTGTTGAAAGACTTCTGTTTACTCAGCTAAAATCTTATTGTCGTTTAATGCTACACTGACTATCAAGGGATGACCTTTTGGAATATCTGTTCTTGGTGCAGTGCTTATGTTGGCTTCGTTATTTACATTTATATTTTCATATTGACCCATTCAGACGTGCTGTTACTCATCTCTGGAGCTGGTGTGGATTGAATCCCGGTCTCCTGGCTCAGAGATCGGGACACTACCATAAAGCCACAAGACCTCTTAAAATAGAGAATCGATTTAAAGATGCAAAGACATCAAATATTGTTTGTTCAGATGACAATATTTAATCCTGATATCCAAATCATGGATATACATTGTAAATAGCTGGGGCCCAAGCACTGATCCTTGCAGTACCGCCGGCAACCTCAAAAAGACCCATTTATTCCTACACATTTTTCCTGTCTGACCAGTTCTCAATCTATACCAGTATATTCTTCCCAGTCCTGTGGGATCTAATTTTGTGTCGCTAATCTTGTTTAGAACCTTCTTATAAGCATTCTGAAAATCCAAATCTACCACATCCACTAGATCCCCCCTTACCTTTTTGTTACTTACATCCTCTGAAAACTCCCAACAAGTATGTTAAATGTGATTTCCCTTTCAACAATTCGTGTTGACTTACCCAATCCTCCTCCTATTTTCTAAGTATTCTGTTTTTACATCCTTATCGTAGATTCTTGCATTTTCCTTTTGACTAACATTAGACTAAAGGAATGTAGTTCCCTGTTTTCCTTCTCCCTCCATTATTGAATATCCAATCTACAGGGATCAATCCAGAATGTATTGAATTTTCTACTATCTCCACAGCTACTTTTTCACCAATAGGTTGTAGATTATCAGATTCAGGAAATGTACGTACTTTAGGTCCCATTAATACCTCTAGTATTATGTTATTTTTAATTAAAATCTTGCAGTTTCTTGTTTACACATTACTACATTCTCCATTATCTCTGCGAGGTATTTAGTGTTTGTTTAATTTCTCGCCCATTTCATTATTCCTTTTTATAACTTTTGACCTTGCCTGCAATGGATCCACACTTGTTATGGCTAATCTTTCCCAGTTTGCAATTTACAGACTATTTATACAGCTTTCTCTAGTTTTCTGAAATTTTGTTTTCCCTTTCTTAATCTTTTTCTTGGCTGTCCTTTTGGAATTCTAAAGTCCTCGCAATCCTCAAACTTAGCAATTTTTGACAATTGTGTAGGCTTTTTCCAAAACAAACCTTAATTTCTTTTGTTGGCCATGGTTATGGTATTTTCATTGCTGGGTTTTTGTGCATTACAAAAATATATTTTTGTAAAGTATGTGTTAGTTATTTAATTGGCCATCACCTGCCTGTTGCCATACATTTATGTGTAGTTTCTCTATCTACCACAGTCAATCTGCCCCTCATAGCTTCATGATTTCCTTCATTTAGATTGGAGTTTCTAATTTCTGACTGAACTATATCAATTTCATCTTAATGTAAAATCTAGCATATGGTGTGTTTATCTGGGTTCAGGACTTAAATTTGAACATTTATCATCTCCCTTGTACTCTACACTAGGCTTGAGATTAGCAATTTTTTTTAAACCATAGATTTGCCAGTCCTCAAATACAGCAAAGAAGTGAACTGCTAATTCTTAAAAGGAATTGTTCCTCCACAGTTCTACAACAGTCTTTGGCCAAAAGAGCAAATGGGCATTCCCCTGTCCTGTGCCACCCAGCACCCAGTCATTAGGTGATTGACTTACTGGTTTACCTGCTTCTGTCCCTTCCTAGCAAATAGGAGTTGACAATGGGGAAATTCCAAAGTCACTGCACTTTGGTTATGCAAACCTGCAATTTTAAACAGCTGATCATTGTAGCTTTAGCCGAGCTTGAGCACTGTCGCCTCGGAGTCAAAAGGCTTTTGATTTCAAGCCCCACTACAGAGACTTGAGTACACAATTTAGACTGGTACTTTGGTACTGTATTGATTGAGTGCTGCACTGTTGGAGATACTGTCTTTCAGATAAGATGTTAAACTAAGACTATCTCCTTCACTGTCTTCTGTCTTCCACCTCAGCCTGCACTCATTCAAACCTCAGTTACAATTAAAAGATGCCACAGCAGTCTGGAATAAGAACAAGGAACTTCCTTTGGCGCATATCTATCTGCCAACTAAAATTATGTGGTCATTCTCTCTTTGCTGTTTTGGGGAGTAACTTGTTGCTTGCAAATTTGGTGTTTTATTTCCAGATGTTAGAAAAATAACTTCAGTTCAGAGATTGCTGTAAAACCCTCTGCAACATCCTGTAGAAGCGGATAAGAACAGGAATCAGCTAGTCAATCCTTTCAAACATGTTTTGCAGTTCAATTAAATCACGGCTGACCTTAATTTACTCTCCTTATGTCTGCATGCTTTAATATCCTTACCTAACAAACATCTTACCTGTTTCAACTGATCTAATTTATAGTTTTTTTTTTAAGGTGTTGCAGATATGCATTATTGTGAAAAATGTGTTAATTGACATCACTTCTGAATGGTCCAACTCTAATTGAAGATTATGCCTTTTTTTGTGACCGTCCTATAAGGGGAAATAATTTCTCTCTTTCGACCTTTTAAATCCTTTAAATACTTCAATTAGATTACTCCTTAAATTGCTATACTCAAATACAAATCTATTCCACCTATCTTCATAAAAATTTTGGAATCATTCTGGTGGATCTTTTGAACGCTTTCCAACACCATTATATCCACACTGAGATGCAGTGTCCAGGATTGAACACAGTATTCAAGATAAGGTCTAAACAGAAGGATGCTACATGAATTTCAAGTTATATATTGCTTATGCACGACTTGATAATTTTTAAAAATGTAACTTGCAATTATGTTGAAGATAATTCAACATAAGGTCATACTTATTGGGAAAGGAGACTTCTCAAAGTTTCTGAGATAACAAGGTGTAGAGCTGGATGAACACAGCAGGCCAAGCAGCATCAGAGGAGCAGGAAAACTGATGTTTCAGGTCGAGACCCTTCAGAAATTTCTCAAAGTTTCTGTTCGTTTGTATGAATGACCATGTTCTAATGGTTTGTCACTTGTATACCTTTTTTAGTAATACAAAAGTTAGATTGTAATACTTCATTCATTCTTGTCAGTATATATTGTTGCATTTATACTGTCCATTGTTAGTCCCTTTTTACAATAAAATGCCTGCAATATAAACTACGTTAATAAAATCCCCAACTTTAGTTAATGAATGATGTGAATCCTTACCTACACAAAGCTTTTTACTGAAACTACAGTTATATTATTTTTGGCAAGGTCACACTTCTTCTAAACTGTAGAATGTATGCCCATCTCAGTTTCTCATAGGATAACCTTCACCCCAGAATTGATCTCATGAGGCCAGAATGTGCTCCAAGTGAAGACTTTCCAAAATCCTATTACACGCAGTTGGATTTCCAATTTTTTCTTTTTCTAAATATTCCCTTTTTTCATAATGCACATTTGAATTCTAGTCCATAGGAAATTCTCAAATTATAGTTCTAACAGTGATAATGCTTAAGATATAAAATTGTATAATTATGTTGATCAGTTCTAAACTTTGTTCAATTCGTCGTGCACTTTTCCTAAAGTAAGATTTTTTTTCCCTCTGTTTGAATGATTGGATTAAGTGATGGAACAGGCTCGACAGCTTGAATGGCCAACTCTTCCTATGTTTCAATTTAAAATGTTGATTATGTTGAATATTTCAAATATGTTTCCACTTAAGGCTAAAGTGCTACTTTGACTCACTGGTAGCTTCCCATTTTACATCCGAAGGGCATGATTTCAAATTCCATTCTAGAGACTAATGCCACCTAAGCTAATAAGTACTGAGGATGAGCCACGTTGTTTGATGTGCGGTGTTACAGAGAAGAGGTTGTAACTGTTAATACTATCTGTAGAAGAGCAAGGGAAATACACACGCATATATATAAATAAAAATAATGTAAACTAAAACAAAGGACTGCAGATGGAAGAGATCTGAAACACAAAAACAGACATTGCTGGAGAGCCTCAGCAGGCCTGGCAGCATCTGTGGGGAGTGAAACAGTTAATGTTTCCAGACCAGTGACCCTTCAATCAGAACCCAGAATTCTTCGAGTTGTCCCAGCCGGAATTCATTCCTCGGAACTCCTAGCACTCACAGCTATTATCAGTTATTTGTGAGTCCTTTGTGTGCAAATTAGCTGCCACATTTTCTCTATTACAATATTGCAACATGTACCATTAGCTACGAATCACTAGCACTTTTTAAATTCAGGTTATTTTCTAGCTTCTGAAATGTGTATTTGGGTCTTACCATATCTGATGAATGAAACATTTGGATTAAATAAATCAGTGATCTAGTCTCTTTTCCTGAATATCCAGCAGTTGCCATTCTATATAAACTTCAAATTCCTTTTGTAATGTTTTAGTTCAAACTGTTATCCTCAATTTGTGCTTAACTGTAATCTTAATGCTTCAGTGAAAATATTCATTCATTAATATTAATTTATATTCCCCAAATTATTTTGACGTCAGTTTAAATTGGTTTGTTTATCCAATCAAATTGAATTAAATTTCGTAATTCAATCTTAGCTTGAATTGAGATTTAAATTCAAAATCAGTTTCTAAATCTATTCTATCCAAAAATGCAGTTATTTTACTTTTCTAATTGAATCAATGATTAAGATCATAAGACAATAAGAAATAGGAACAGGCCCTTGAGCCTGGTCAGCCATTCAACAGGGTCATTTCCTGCCCTTTCCCTGTAAGCCTTGTTTCCTTCATTGACCAGTCTTATCAATTTCAGCCTTAAATATGCACATGGACACTGCCCCCACAGCTGTCTGTGGTAAGGATTTCCAAAGGGACTGAACCCTCTGAAGGAACAAATTCCTCATCATCTCAAGTATTAAATTGGCATCAGTTTGTTCTCTGACTATGGCCTTTGGTCCTAGACTCCCACGAAGGGAAATGTCCTCTCAGCATTTATCCTGTCAAGCCTCTAAGAACTCTATATGTTTCAATAAGATCACCTCTCATTCTTCCAAACTCTAGTGAGTAGAGTACCAACCTGTTTCGTATATGCTTATAAGACAATCCCTCCAGACCAGACATCATCCTTGAGCCTTCTCTGAACTGCCTCCAATAAAATGATATATTTCCTTAAATAAGGGGACCAGAACTGTTAATAGTCCTCTGGATGTGGAGGGTCACTCACCAGCATCTTGTACAGAGTAAGGAAGTCTTACTTACTCTTATACCTCAACCACCTTAAAATAAGGGCCAACATTCCATTTGCCTTCTTGATTAGCTGCTGCACCTGTGCTAGCTTTCCGTACTTTGTGCATTAGTACCCCTAAGTCCCTTTGTGTTGCAGCTTTCTGCATTTTCACCCTATTAAAATAATATTCTGTTCTTCTGTTCTCCCTTCCAAAATGAACTTCACATTTTTCCATTTTATACGCCATTGCCCAATTTTTGCCCACTTACTTAACCTATCAATTTATCTCTCTAAACTGCCTGTATCCCTTTCACAACATATATTTCCCTCTATTTTTGTGTCATCTGAAAATTTGGGTACAGTACATTCACTTCCTTCTTCCAAGTCCTTTTATATTGTAAACAGTTGCCGTTCCAGTACTGATCCCTGTGGAACCCCACCGGCTGCAGAACACTGACCTGAAAAAGAACCCCTTATCCCCACTCATTGTTTCCTGCCCATTAGCCAATTCTCTATCCATGCTTTTGTACTATCTCCAACACTGTGGGCACTTATTACTCAATCTTTTGTGCAGTACCTTGAGAATGCCTTCTGGAAATTCAAATACAACACATCTACTGGTTTCCCTCTATCCACTTTAGTTGAAATTTCCTCAAAATTAATAAAACTGGTTCCCTTTTCATGAAGCCATGATTTCTCTGCTTGTTCAGATTACAATTTTCCAAATCTTCTGCTATTACTTCCTTATAATGGATTCCAAAACTTTTCCAATAATAGATGTTAGGCTAATCAGCTGATAGATACCTGCTTTTTACTTCCATTTGTGAACAGGGATGTCACATTAGCAGTTTTCCAATTCTTGTACTTCTCCAGGACCCAAGGATGTTTTTGAAAATTACAACCTATGCATCCATTATCTCTGTAACTACTTCTTTTAGGATCCTAGGATTTACCTCAAGATGTAACTGAGTTGCAATATTCTGATTCAAACACATGCCCCATATTGGTTTTAGTTTTAAACTGCTCTCCCTTGTCTCAATTCATTGTCTCATTTTTAAAATTCAAAATGTATTTTTAAGAATTAGATGTTGTCCTCACATTTTGTAAAATATCTAGTTAGCTAAGAACATATAGTATAAAATTAATTTAGTTTGGTAGTAGAAAATTCAGTAGATGTTAAATATGGAGATTGGGAAAGAGTAGGGTTGGGTGATGTACTGGGATTTGTGATGGGTTTTGCTGTAATACAGTTAGTTTATTTTTTGCTATTTTGCAAATATTAGACTGTTTTTCAGACAATATTAAAACTGAGGTCCCCACCTGCATTCTTTGGGGGATGGATAAGATTTGATAGCACTGTTTGAAGTTGAGTGGGGGAGTTCTATTTATCACTCAACCAACATTGCCGAACAAAATAGCTGGTTGCTGATTTGGTGCTTGTGGAATGTAGAAACTGAAAATTTGTTGCATAGAAGAAGACTATCTGGCCCTTTATGTGCTCCCTGGACAAGAACGGGAAGTATCCGGCTGTATTCCTCTTTGTAGTTCTTGATTCATGGCCCTGTAGGTGACATTTCCAAACGACTTTATAAATGCCATGAAGATTTTTGTCTCTCTCGCCCTTCCAGCTACTGAGTCCCCCTCACTTCCACATATACTCTGGGCGTTGAGTATTCTAATGATCACTTCTCAAATCCTTCTGCCAATGATCAGATCGTTACCGCGAAGTAACACAAGAGAGAACAATAGCGACCATTTCAGAAAGCAAATGATTGGATCGGGAGCCCATCGGAACTTGTAGGGCTCAGAGAACACTTCTAAGCAATCAGCTGTACAGCTGGTTCCCACCGCTAGCTGGCACCATCTGATGGTCCTGGCTTTAAATCCTGGTTGCAGAGTTTAATTCACTTTGTTGCTCTTATCGATTCGATATGACGCCAAAGTACCTGAGCTGTTTGAGTTGTAAGATGACTTTTAAATCTCCGTCTTTGCTGGAAAAGCATCGGGAGAAGTTTTGCATCGGGACTGAGTTCGGAAGAGCGTTGATAACCAAAACCCCTGAAGATATGGTGAAAAGTTTTAAATAATTTTTTCTAATGTCTCGTTTAAATACAATGTATTTCCGATCTCAACAGCGCCAAGATGCATTCATATTTGTGTTTTTGCTGAGATTTCCTTTAATGTTGGAGAATGAATACACTTTTGGAAAATTTGCTTTGTCCTCGGGGCAAATGCAGTTGAAGGACTTCACTGCTCAATTTGTAAAGATGCGAAAATCAAAAGTGAAAAGAAATGTGATGAATTATAATGGTCGACCTTCTGATTCAAATGCATGTCTCCCCAGTGGGTTTACTGCAGTCTCGTTTCTTAATTGCCGGTAGCGTTGATTTTATGTTAATATTTAGAATGCATTTTTCAATTTAAGTAGTGCCTTTATCACTTAATTTTCTTTGTATTAGATCTAGCCTGAGATAAGAACGGACAGCTGAAGATTAATTTCATTTTGGAAATTGCAAACTTTTAATTTTACACAGTGCTTTTTGCTACATTTATTTGGATGTTCTCAACCAAAGTCTGATGCGTAAGAATACTTTTTGAAAAAAAAGTTAAATTATTGGCGTTTATTTCATTGGTGCTTTCGCCATTGCTATTTCAATCCAGTTTGTGGCTCCGCGATTGAAATTGGTGGATTGTTCCGGCTTTAAAACCCAGCAACAAGACCATGTGTTTATTTAAAACTTATCAGTTTGTAAATGCTGGTTGCTATGCTAGGGCGTAGGCTTGACACTTGGCGTAGGGAGGCCTGGATATTTACACTGTCTCATACTTAACGTTTTCGGGTCCAGTGACTTCTCCTCTTCCCCATTCTGAGGGGAAGGGTCACTCTTCCTCTCTCCCAATTTTGAGGAAGGGTCACTTGAACCGAAATGTTAACTCTGATTTCTCTCCACACATGCTACCAGACCTGCTGAGCTTTTCCAGCGATTTCTGTTTGTGTTTCTGATTTTCGGCATCCGTAGTTCTTTCTGATTTTAGAAGACTTGGAAATGTGGATGCTAAGACATTTGTTTACAAAAAAAATTCAAACCATAACGCAAATGAAGAGGTACTTGAAATTACAAGAGCAAAAAGACCCTTCCAAAGTGACATTCAGAAAAGAATGTAGTCAGTATTTTAGCCATTTGGACCATTTGGCCATGCAGGAATGTGGAGTAATCAGAACAGCCATGATCCTTAACGAATGGTGGAACAGGCTGGAGTGGGCCGAATGGCCTACTCCTGCACCTAGTTTGTATGTTTGCGTGTTAATCTGAGCTGAAAAGCTACGGGGATCCCTCCTAGAGCACAGCAGCAAGAAGGCTTGACCCAGGTGTAGTTGGATGAATGGTTGCAAACATTGGTTGTGAAGCGATGGTGCAAGACTGACCAGTGTGGCATACCATGACTGCAGATCTCCTGGCAAGGGGTGCCACAAACAGTAATGACAGGAATAGACCTGTATGAATTGGTATTTTTTCCAGGGAGGTCATTTACATTCATACAAAGAATGACAATGACAGGAAAAGACACACAGGTCCAACCAGCCTGTTCTAATTATCTGCAATGCACACAAACACTCTCGTCCAAATATTCTGCGAGAGTAGAAAAGTAGATTAAAAACTGACCAATCAGGGAAAGCATTTCCAAAATTACTCTCCAACCCTATAGATCACTGCAGCTAATCCAAGATCGCGTACTCACTTTATATATTGTGTATTGTTATATAACACCTTCCCTTTTTATGAAATAGTCCCTGCTCCAGCCAGAAATGGACCCAGCTCTGATTAGACAGATCAATGTTAAGCATAAGAGCTGACAGTGTGTTGCGCAGGATCATAGATTGATTGACAGGAGGAGGGCATTCAGCTTGACATATCTGTGCTAACTCTCCAAGAACAACTCAATTCATCCCTCTCCCCTGCCCTTCTGTCATAGCTCAGTAAATGTTGTTTCTCTTCAGGTGCTTCATTTGATTTATCATAGAACACCAACGGTGTGGAAGCAGGCCATTTGGCTCTTTGAATCCACACCGACTCTCTGAAGAACATCTCGACCCAGACCCAACCCTATCTCCCTGACCCCACATTTCCCATGGCTAATCCACCTAGCTTGCTCATCCCTGGACAGTATGGACAATTTCTCATGGCCAATCCACCTAACCTGCACATCTTTGGACTGTGGGAGGAAATCAGAGCACCTGGAGGAAACCCACATAGACACAGGGAGAATGTGAAAACACCACACAAACAGTCACCCAAGTCTGGAATCAAACCCAGGTCCCTGGCATTGTGAGACAACAGTGTTAACCACTGAACCACCATGCCAGCCCTAGGTGCTTATCCAAAAGCTCCTTTTGAAAGCCAGTGTTGAATCAGTCGACACTATATTCTCAAGCAATGCATTTCAGATCATAACCACCTGCTGTGTTTAAAAAATACTTCCTGTGTTTACCAGTTCTTCTTTTCCCATTTGCATCAATTTGCTGTTCTTTGGTTCTCAAGATTTGGGTCAATAGGAACAGTTTCTCCTTATATGCACCAACTAGACACCCCTTGATTTTTTTGTATACCTTTATCATGTGACCTCTTCTTGAAGGAGAACGGTCTGAACTTAGCCAGAGATAGTAAGAACTGCCAATGCTGGAGTCAGAGATAACATACTGTGGAACTGGAGGAACACAGCAGGCCAGGCAGCATTAGAGGAGCAGGAAAGCTGTCATTTCGGGTTGGGACATCAGCTTTCCTACTCCTCTGTTGCTGCCTGACCTGAACTTAGCCAGTTGTTTTTCATTCTTTCACAAGATGTTGACATCACTGGCTGAGGCAGCATTTATTGCCCAGCACTAATTGCCCCATGATAAGAGCCTATGTGGTGTAGATGCACCTCAATGCTGTTAGAGAGGGAGTTCCAGGGTTTAAACATGAGATCTGTCTGCATAACTGAAGTACCCATTCTTAGAACTATTCTCAACAATCTTTTATGCTGACTCTCAATTATTTTTACAACCTTCCTCAAATGTAGTGCCAAGATTTAGACACAGTATTCCAGCTAAGGCAGATTCACAGTTTTAAATTCATTGTAACTTCCTCCGTTTGTAGTCAATGCTTTAATTTATGAAGCCCGGGATGCCCCATTTCTTTAAAATTGCTTTCACAATCTGTTTTGCCACCTTCAATGATTTGTGTACTTATAACTCCAGATCTTTCAATTGGAATTATGCCTTTTATTTTCTACTTGCTCTCCTCATTCTGCCTACCAGTATGTTTATAGAGTCCATAGCACCAAGACAGGCCTGTCGGTCCAAACTGGTCTATGCTGACCAAAATGTCTATCCACGCTAACCCCATTTCCCTGCACTTGGCCCATATCCTTCCAAACCTTTCTTATTTATGTATTTGCCCAAATGCATTTAAATGTTGTTAATGTACCCACCTCAACCACTTCCACTGGCAGCTCATTCCATATGCGTACCACCCTCTGTGTAAAAAAAAAAAGTTGCCCCTCAGGTTCCCATGTATTCTTTCCCCTCTTACCTTAAACTGATGCCCTCTATTCCTTAATTCCCCAATCCTGGGAAAAAGACTGAGTGCATTCACCCTATCCTTGCTTCTCATGATCTTTTACACTTCTAGAAGATCCCCCCTCAGTCTCCTATGCTCGAAAGAAAAAGTCCTAGCTTGTCCAATCTCTCCCTATAACTCAGTTCCTGGAGTCCTGGCAACATCCTTGTAACTTTCTTCTGCACCCTTTCCAGTTTAATAACATCCTTCCTATAACAGGTGACCAAAACTTAACACAATACAACAAGTACGGCCTTACCAATGTCCTGTACAATTGCAACATAACTTACCAACTTTTATACCCAATGTCTTACTTGACACTTCCCTACATTAAATGTCATCTACCTTGAAGCCATCCATTTCACTTGTCTACACTTGCCACTACCTGTCTCATGGTTCACAATACTTCCACAATTTGTATCTCTTGCCAATTTTGAAAGTGCGCACAGCCAAGTCAACATCATAAAGACCAATAGGAGATGCATTGTTTTCTGGGAAATGAACCATTTCCTGACTCTTAACTGAGTTTCTGCCCCAACTAAACTTGCGATCCTGATACTCCCTAATCTATTTAGTTGAATACTTTATTCCCTTTGGTTTAACTTATCAGCCTGTGAGAATCATGGCATTAGGTACATGCCAGTATCCAGTAAAATCTGAAAACAGAATTGCACCAATGAGGTCTCATTAACAGCGGTGTGAGAACAACCAGTTTAAGATGCAGAAGAAAGGCAGATAGATATGAAAGTAGAAGAGAGTACCGACCCCATCAGCCTGTATCTCCCCCACTGTCAGCTGCACTAGTGCAACCAATGTCTATTGCCAGCACCGGAAGACTCTCTGTGTAGCTGCTGTCTGACCTATTGACCATTTTCAGAATATTGTTCATTTTATAAATTTCACTGTCTTATGACAGCTTAACCAGCTGAAGGACTATAAGCGACGCCGTGAAGAGCAGAGGAAGCAACAGGAAATGGAGGAGCGAGATATCCTGGAGGAAATGGATGAGAACGAGAGGAGGTTAATATATGATCATTTGACATTTGATGAACAGGAAGACTTTGCCCAGGTAATCTCCACTAATACAAGTAGCCATGATCTTCTAACAGAAAGTAAACGTTTCCTACTTTAGCCTAACAGAAAATGTGCTTAATATATCGCAAGAAAGTAATATTATACATTTGGCCATGACATTTCTGAAAGGCCTAAGACCCTTTCACTATAAATGTGTCACTTAGGATCATAGGAGATAAGGGATAGTGGGAATTGGGGAGGGTGGAGTTACAATGGTTTGGAAACGATTGTGAGGGTGAGGACAAGGGATAGGAGATTGAGAAATGGGTTACAAAGGTGAGGGGCAAGAACAGTGGATCAGAAAAGAGGAGAAAGGGCTGAAGACGCTGCTCAGGCCATGGTGAGACAGAGGAGGAAACTCAGTCACTTTGACAATAATAAAGGAGGAGGTATTGGATCAGCTGCTCGTACTTAAAATTGATAAGGGCTGTTGACCAGATGAGATGCATCTAAGGATATTTAAGGAAGCAAGAGTGGAAATTGCAGAGAGACAAGCAATAACCTTAAAATTTTTAGAGCCTATTATTCAGGTTAGAATTAATGGTCACATGAACGAGGTTTGATTGATTCACAAGAGTCAGTACACTCCAATCGAGGCTACATCCTGGTAAACCCTTTTTTTTTTGCATCCTCTCCAAAGCCTCCACACCCTTCCTATACAGTGGTGAGCAGGATTACACATAATACTCCAAAGGTAGCCTAACTAAAGTTTTACACAGCTGCAACATGACTTCCCAACTTTTGTACTCAGTGCCCTGACTGACAAAGCCAAGCACGGTGTCCACATTTTTTAACATCTTATCCATTTGTGTTGCCAATTTCAGGGAGCTATGGACTTGCACTCCAAGATTCCTCTAGATAGCAAGCTCCTAAGGGTCCTGCCATTTACTGTATGCTTTTAGAGAAGAAAGATAAGGGAGGTCAGAAGATGCATGTAGAAAATACAGAAGAGAATAATGTTGGAAGGAGTTTTTATGACCTCAGTGCTTCACAGTGAATGAAATACCTTTTGAACTGCAGCCTTGTGACCTCTAAACATCTTCTGTCGGTGCTCCACTTATCTGAGGATCTCTCGCAGATTGGTTTTAAATGCTAGGAAACATGCATGGAGCTTGCCACGATCCAAAAAACTGGACTGGGATCATGAGGCTGTGGGAGGATGAGATGCATTTTGACCCTGATTGAATGCAAAAAGAAAAATCCATCTCCCACGGCTACAAGAACGAAGATCAATTTGAAAATCAACACAGTTGTTGTCAGTTTATATTTACTAGAGTGCTTTAGTTATAGTTTCCGAACTTGAATTAACCAGGGTCACCTAAAAACTTGAAAGTTATATCTGTACATTTTTGCTTAACTACTAATCTGTTTAATATGAACCTTTCCAATTATTCATAAGAATACTACTAAAAGCACAATTAAAAGCAAAAATTATACATTCTCAAGTTTAGCTCCCACACACTTGTTTTAATAACAATGCACCTCTAATCTACCATTCACATCTTTCAAAATTTGCCTACATATATGTACATTCTCATTACTTTTGCACAGGATAGTCACCCAATTGCTTCAGCGTTATAGCATTGATGTTAAGTAAGTTAACCCAATGGTAAAAGCATTTGAATACAGTTTTGCATAGAATTAACAGTGCAGAAACAGCCATTTATCCCAGTTGGTCAACGATAGATGCTCTTATGCAATATGAGCACTTTCTACCCTGCCCCAATATTACTCTCTTCACTTCTCCAGCTTAGATTCAGGAAATCTCCCATAACCATGCCAGTGCTGTCTGCTTCAACCAGCACACATAGCAGTGACTTCCACATTTTCATCACTCTCTGATTGAAGAAATTACTCTTAAATTCTTTATTTGATCTTTTACTGGCAAATTGACATTGATGCCTTTTTGTTCAAGAATCATTTCCCCATATTCTCCTTATTGAACCTTCTTTAAAATATATTAAAGATCTCTTCGTAGCTCTTCCCATTTTTCAGAAAGAAAGAGTGCCAGGTTGCTGAATTGACCTTGATAGTTTGAGCGAACTCAGGTGGGAACATCAATTAAAGAGTGAAGCTGGACACAAACAACAGGATGAATTAATCTAAAATCAATTTAATTAATATCCAACATTGGACTTCACATTGATCTTCAACCAAATCCAACACTGAATGGTAACCAACTGACAAGGGGATACATATGTCATTCAGTGTGTGATAGGGTTTGACATTTTAATTCATTGAATCTTTTAAAATGCTTCATTAAATGTTTAGTTGACAATTAGAATTAATGTTTTATACTTGTCTGTGCATTCAAGTGCATCTTGTGTGTTTCAGCAGAATGAAGGCCCATAGAAATACACAGTTGTTGTCAATTGGTACACTTCATTAGATGATCTGAGGGTTTTTCATCATTTTAGATTCTTTTGTAGTGGTTTTAGAGGCTAGCTTGGGCCATTATTTCAAAATGCAACTCATGGTGACCTGAATGTAATCTTGCTGTAAGTAACAAAAACCAAAGTTGCTGGAAAAGCTCAGCAGGTTTGGCAGCATTTGTGAAGGAAAAATCAGAGTTAGCGTTTTGGGTCCAGTGACCCTTTCTCAGAACTGATGGGAAAACATCGGTTTATATGCAGAAAATAGGGAGGTGAATGGGGTAGGGAGTAAACGATAGGATTGAGCCCAAAGAGAGAGAAGAGCAGTTGGACAGGAGTTGATAATGATCTGGCTGGGATGGTGACTCATTGTTAATGGGGATCGTTAGTGACTAACAATAGGTAGTGTGTAATGGCAGGCTATGTGATGACAAGGCCTTGTGTGTGGGGTAGGGGGCTAGGACATGGGAGAGTTTAGGCCCTAAAATTATTGAACTCGATATTGAGTCCCGAGGGCTGCAGGGTCCCCAAGCGGAAAGAGAGGTGTTGTTCTTCCAGCTTGCATGAGCTTTGCTCGAACACTACAGCAGGCCAGAGACAGAGATGTTGGCCAGGGAGCAGGGTGGTGCATTGAAGTGGCAGGCAACAGGTAGCTCAGAGTCTGTTTTTCTCCAGCTCGGGGTCTTGCTGTAAGTAGCTGCTAGGAAGTGTTCTTCTACCTTTGTGACTTATCTTGCTGAATTCAGCCAGGTTTGCAGCTGTGTTTACATTAGTTTAGTGATTCTAATTCTGAATATCTTGTATACGAGTCCCACCACAGTAATTTGTGCTGCTTCATTTCAACGCTGTGGGGAATCAAGACAGAGTTGTCATCTGGTCTCCATTTGGCCTTCCCAATATAGCAGAGATCACATTGTAAGCAGCAAATGGGGATGGTGTATGTTATGGATCACTTGGAGTCCATGTTGCTGTTGCAATACTTTTACACCAGATTCTTCAGGAGATATGGACTGTGATGTGTTACTATTGTGACATGAGGATAATCAAGCTCCACTACTTCACCAGTTGCACCATTAGTATATATTTGTGGGCTCAATTTCAAAAGTAGCCACCTCCAATTTTGTTAAACTACTATCTAGAATCAAAGAAATGTCCATTTTAGTAGAAACAAAGCACATTCTTAAAGCAAGCGGCAACTACCCATTAACATGTAAATTACGATCTGGAATTGAAATTATATCCCCTTCATCCCACAGAGATGCACTCTTACAACATAAAAAGATGCCTTTCTGGAGATTTGATGGTCTGGAAACAAGGGATAAACTGTGATCAACTCTCACTTTCATTTTTTTTCCTGTTAATGAATTGCTGACAGTTGTAGATGGATGAAAGATGAACAATTTTGAGTGCAACCAACTTGGATTTGAGACTTTAGAAGCTGGTCACAGTCCAGCTTTCCAGGCTTTACTAGGTGCATAGAAACACAGGTACTTAGAAACTCCGAGATAGTAGGAACTGCAGATGCTGGAGAATCCGAGACAACAAGGTGCAGGGCTGGATGAACACAGCAGGCCAAGCAGCATCATAGGAGCAGAGAGTCTGACGTTTCGGGCCTAGACCCTTCATCAGAAAAGGAAACTCCATCAGATTTTCAGAAACTTCTGTTGAGAACAGGATTTCAGGAAAGACACTTGCAAATTCTGGGGTGTCCTCATTGCATTCTGACTTTTGCGTCTGTAGAATTGAACTCATTCCAAACACCTCCCCACAGCCCTACAGCACCTTCCCCTGTAACTGGCAAAGGTGCAACATCTGCCCATTTACCTCCTCCCTCCCCAGTATCCAAGGGCCCAAACATACCTTCCAGGTGAAGCAACACTTCACCTGCACTTCCCAGAATTTAGTCTACTGCATTCGCTGCTCACAATGTGGTCTCCTCTACGTTGGGGAAACGAAGCGTAGACTTGGCGACTGCTTTGCAGAACATCTACGTTCTACTTGCAAAAAAGACCCTGAACTACCTGTTGCCTGCCACTTCAATGCACCACCTTGCTCCCTGGCCAACATCCCTGTCTCTGGCTTGCTACAGTGTTCCAGTGAAGCCCAACGCAAGCTGGAGGAACAACACCTCATTTTCCACTTGGGGACCCCTACAGCCCTCCGGACTCAATATTGAGTTCAATAATTTTAGGGCCTAAACTCTCCCATGTCTCAGCCCCCCACCCCACACCCTACACACCACACACCACACACCAGGCTTTGTTACCACACAGCCTGCCATGACACACCTGTTGTTGGTCACTAACAGTCCCCATTAACAACTACTCACCCACCCAGCTTGATTGTTAGCAACTCCTTTGTCTGTCCAACTCTCTTTCTCTCTCTTTGGGCTCTATCCTATTGTTTACTCCCTACCCCACCCACCTCCCTATTTTCTGCATATAAACTGACATTTTCCCAGCCACTATTAGTTCTGAGGAAGGATCACCGGACCTGAAACGTTAACTCTGTTTTCTCCTCCACAGATGCTGCCAGACCTGCTGAGCTTTTTCAGCAACTTTGTTTTCGTTCCTGATTTACAGCATCCGCAGTTCTTCTGGTTTTTAATCGTTTATTTTTAGTTTGGACTTTTGGATTTTAACTCATTTTCCATGTATCTGAAGGAGTTGAAATAATTAAATTTGTAAGTATTTTTATAGCCATGGTGAGTTCTTTTAAAGCATTGTGTAAGAGAAAGACCTCCTGGACAATAATGGGTTTTTGTTTATTAGCGACCATGGTAAACAGTTATGTATTAGGCTTTAGTTTGGAAATGTAAGGGATTGATATTTTTCTTCTGATTGGATGAAACACCCATAGCTTAGGGAGGAAAAAGGGTTTGTTTCAGTTTCAGTGTAGGCTGTTCTTCAGCAGAAGTCTTGGCAGTAAAGCAGTTGGTGCTGGAAAAGGAGCAGGTGGTTTAGATTTGTTAAAAGTCGGTAACTTCAGTGTAAGGAGTTTCAGAAAAATTCCAGACTAGAAATGTTTTGTTAAATTCCTGAAGGGGTTAATTAAAGCTGAGAAAGCTTAAGCTCCATTGGATAAAGGCTCCAGGAAGAGGCTATCAAATTTAAGAAGGGGGTTAGTGGGATTGTATTTTACCCTGTGTTTTGAAATCTTTAAATTTGTGTTCTATATTTATTTTGCATAATAAACTAGTGTTTCATTACTTAGGCTGAAACTGCAGCATTACATATTTGTGTTTCAGTAAAAGAGCACCTTGTTAAAGCAAATAAAGAAATCCATCAGATTTCAGTCTGGTATCTGTTTTGTTCAGTAAGAACATCAGCTTGGATCATAAACACAATTCTGTTATGAGTGAGCACCTATTATAAGTTTCAACAGTTGCATTGTTCAGATTGTCATTAATAAAACTGTTTTTATCTACAGATTCTCCAGGAAGTTAATATGTGCGTTTGACACGCGATCGTGCTAGTGCCCTATTGTTTTCTTGAAGTGAAATACAGATCAAAAGCTGTTAGGAAGTTGTCAAACATAATTAGTTTTTTTTAAATTATCTGTCATCTTTGTAACAGAGGATCTAAAGTATCTTCTGTTATAGTAGAGAAGTGAGCTCATCTGATATGAATTTGAAGCCCTTACACAACAACAATTATAAGGATTTGTACTGACTTCCTGATAAAATGAGCAATATTTCATTGCAGAGAGCTTTACAGAAATAAGTAAATAATTAATAAGTGGATAATTATCTGTTTATATACACCATCTGCATTTCAACCAGTCCAGATAACATAAGCAGATTAGTTCACTGGTTATTAGGATTCTTTGTCATTCAACATTAATATCCATTTTACAGAAGCCAGGGTTAGGGTTAGGGTTAGGGTTGATCTTCTGATTCCTTTCTCCTGTAGTGTATTTAAAAATCTCTACTTCCTAGGACCCCTGTTCTCTGGCTACTTAATCCAATGGATTCAAATCATTCTTCTATCATAGAAATATAGAAAATAGGAACAGGACTAGGCCATTCAGCCCTTCAAGCCTGCTCCACTATTGAATATGATCATGGCTGATTATCCGAGTCAGTATGCTGTTCCTGCTTTCTCCCCGTACACTTTGATCCTGTTAGCCTGAAGAACTTAATATGAACTCCTTGAAAACATGCAATGTTTTGGCCTCAACCACTTTGTGGCTGAGAATTCCACAGGCTCACCACTCTATGGGGGAAAAAATGCTCTTCATCTCAGTCCTAAAATGGCCTACTCTATTCTTAAACCATGACCCCAGGTTCTAGACATCCAAGTTATTGGGAAATCCTTGCAGAGTTTTGTTTTGGGAATTTAGGGTAAGAAGATACTTTTGATGCATGGTTGGCCCGTCTTTGTTGGCCAGTGAAGTGGCAATTCTGGTGATCACAGGAAGAGCCCTGACACTGAAGAAAGAGAGACCTTGTAATTATATAGCATCTTTCACCAGCTCAGGATGTCCAAAAGCATTTTGAAGATAATTAAGGGTGGTCCTTAATGCTCAGTATTCTGTTACTTGTGCATTCTTGCCTTGCCTGTAACATGGAAATGGCCTACTGTCATCAACATTGATCACTTAGTGTCAAGGATCCAAAGCTACATTCAACTATTGTCCATCACTAATTTATCTTTGACGATGGTGCCTGGTTATCGTGTGTCAGAATAAGTATTTGCTAACATTTTGCCCTATGTTTGTGCCTTGCTTCTTAATTCACAGGATGGCCCAAGCCCGAGACAGCAGTGGTTTCAGGAGTACAAAAATCAGTTGCAAAACTTGGCCCAAGATCATAGAAACCATGTCACTGCTCTAATATCTCATAACAAGGAACTAGAGGAACAGCGAACAGGTAAATCTTAAGATTCAGCCAAATTTTCTATTTTACAGATCACTGGAAAATCTTACAAATGCACCAAGGATCAGTTCACATTTAATAATGTGATGTTACACAATCCCCATAGATAACTTTAAAAGAGCTAACAATTTCCCAGCAATTGATAGAAATGATTACAGGACAAGATTTTACTGGAGCAAACATGCGAAAATCCACATTATCTACTAAGTAAAATTGTATCAATGTTTACTCTAAGCTATAGAAAATGTTATTCTATTAGTTAACACAACTGAAAATTCTATGCTACATTTACATGTTATTTCAAACTCTTAGCAGATATGTAACCAAATTCCTTTCAGCAGTTCAAAGAGTTTTTTTTCCCCCGCTCGGTCTGGGTTTAGTGTCCTTTCAAAGGTCTCATTGCTAAATTGCCCAAGTATAATCAAATTGAATCCCAGCAGCATGACATCCTGCACCTCCTAGGTGTTTATAGGTTCTGCCTCATCATACTGGGTCTCTGTTCCCACACACAATCCACTTGGAGATTAATACAAAATAGATCTTTTTCTCTGCTTGGAATAGCAGTTGCGGCTTTCAGTTTTCATCTTCAGGTCATTTTGTCTGATTGAGACCCAAAGTCTGTGTGCAGCTAGATCATCTGTCCTCGTGTGTCAAGGTCTGAAAATTGCCACTTCTAAATGAATTTCAGCCTTGTTCTCTGCCCCCATGGCAACCAAATTATAAGGGCCTGTCCCTGGGCAGATTTTTGTTCAACTTCACCATTCTTCGTTTTCGGACAGTTTAACATATACCACAGCCTTGCATTCGTAACAAATTCAAGCTAATTAACAAATATTGAATGGCTTGAATCTATAAACTTCTCAGGCAAAAATCACAACACCTCAGGCAGGGTGGCCACTGAAACAAAATGCCTAATGTTTAGGTAGTCTACATAATTCTGGCTTTTAATAAAGGCATCCTCTGTTGTAGGTAGTTTTATAGAGATCACTACAGGTATTTAAAATTTGTAATTTTACTACAGAGATTGTGAAAAAACTGAAAGACATGTCTGAGAAAGGTAAAATCTCTTCACAAGTGGAGAATATGTTGGCAGAGCTCAAAGCACAAGAATACAAGAATGAGCTACTTCTGGAATCCATGAAGCAACAACTGGAGATCCTACAGCTAGAAACCGTGTAAGTATGCTTAATTACATCAGACGAAGAGCAAGCTTCAAGGAACCTGGTTTCTCCTAAACTAATCTTTGAACCCTATGATAACAAGGTGTAGAGCTGGATGAACACAACAGGCCAAGCAGCATCATCAGAGGAGCAGGAAAGCTGACGTTTCGGGCCTAGACCCTTCTTCAGAAACAGGGGAGGGGAAGGGGGCTCTGAAATAAATAGGGAGAGAGGGGGAAGACAACACCTCATTTCACTTGGGAAACCTGCAGGCCAATGGCATCAATGTGGACTTCACAAGCTTCAAAACCTCCCCTTCCCAAAACCAGCCCAGCTTGTCCCCACCTCCCTAACTTGTCCTTCCTCCCACCTCAAAGCCCACCCCCATCTCCTACGTACTAGCCTCATCCCACCCCCTTGACCTGTCCGTCCTCCTTGGACTGACCTATTCCCTCCCTAACTCCCCACCTACACTCACTTTTACTGGCTCCATCCCCACCTCTTTGACCTGTCTGTCTCCTCTCCACCTATCTTCTCCTTCATCCAGCTTCTATCCACCTCCCCCTCTCTCCCTATTTATTTCAGAACCCCCTCCCCCATTTCTGATGAAGGGTCTAGGCCTGAAACGTCAGCTTTCCTGCTGTGTTCATCCAGCTCTACACCTTGTTATCTCAGATTCTCCAGTTCCTACTATCTTTGAACACTATGCTAGTTTGCAACTGGCTCAGGTAGTAATCCAGAGATTACCTCCGTGGCTCTGCTTTCAATTTATTTCCTAGTTGCTCATATGCTGTTAGACAGGACTAAATGGCCATTCTGTCCTATATACCCACATGGCCTTAGAATTGATCCCTTGCCTCCCACACCAAAATTCCTTTCCAACCTTGAGGTAATGTCCTGAATGCTGGTAGCCAGCAGACTATACAGTTATTGTGATTCATGCTATCTGTTGCAGACAGTTGAATCCATTCACCTCACTATTGTGTTCCCTACTGCAATTATGTTCCTTTAAACTCCCACCCTGCACTTGCAAGGTCATAGTTTCCTTATCCACCTTGCAGTCTCTACAAACTACAAGAACATCAAAGCTGTGAGGTTAATCATAATGAGGTTCCTCACTTTATTAGTGACCCCCATACCTGCCTCACTCACAGTCACACTTTCCTCCCTCTGACCACAGACAAAAATCTGAATCACCTAGCTAAAGGGACTGACTTCCTCCTGGACCAAAGCATTTCAGTAACTCTACCTAAAATCCAAAAGAACTGCAGATATTTTAAAATCAGGAACAAAACCAGAAGTTGCTGGAAAAGCTCAGTAGGTCTGGCAGCATCTGAAGACAAAAAAAATTAACATTTCAGGCCTCATGACCCTTCAAACATTAACTCTGATTTTTTCTTCACAGGTGCTGCCAGACCAGCTGAGGTTGTCTAGCAACTTCTGTTTGTGTTGTAGGTAACTTTACCTCTCCTGTTATACTGACGTGTCAAAAGCAAGTTCATCAACCCAGAGCTGATCTTCCTTGAGCTACAAACACTTAATGTCCACCAGTACCCTTATAACACAGCAGCAACACACCAACTGCATTATCAGCTTTATTGTGTTTAATTTAACCAATTGATTTTCAAAATTAGAACTATCACTCAGCTATTGTCTGTGGTTACACCAAGTAGATTAATTAGTTAAATTATAGATTCAATGTAATAATTATCTCCTCAGTACTGTGGGGGTTTAGAGGGATAATACCTTAAAATTTCACTAATCACCTACCTGCTCATCTAATTAAGGTCTTGATTATTTACAAGTTCCTGGAGGCTGAAAAACAAAAGGCAGAATAAGCAGCGTCTCCTTCTGCTCAACATTGATTTGCAAGTTAGCAAATTGTACTTCACTGCAATCAGGCCTTATCCCACTGTGTGCTGCCATACTCTGATATTTTCCACCTGACGTCTGTCCTGTGCATCTTTTTTCAGTTTCGTTCTACTGTTTCTCCCTTGTCGTCCAGGAAAATCTGGATTTGTCCACCCTACCTTTCCTCCTTGAGGGAATAGAGCTTGACTTCACCTGAACAATCTCCTCCTTAAAGGCAACCTATTGTTTTATAGTGAGACAACAAGGTGCAGAGCTGGATGAACACAGCAGGCCAAGCAGCATCATAGGAGCAGAAAGGCTGACGTTTCGGGCCCATTC